ATGTAGAGAGGGCAGCACGGGTCAACGCTCTCCAGATGTAGGGGAGGGCAGCAGTTCTTCACCAGCGCGCCCCCAGATGTAGGGGGGGCGGCGCAGGTCAACGCTCTCCAGATGCAGGGGAGGGCAGCAATTCTTCACCGGCGCGTCCCCAGATGTAGGGGGGACGACGCGGGTCCACGCTCTCCAGATGTAGGGGAGGGTAACTTTTCTTCACCGGCGCGCCTCTAGATGTAGGGGGGGCAACGCCGGTTAATGCTCTCCAGATGTAGGGGAGGGAGGCATTTCTTCACCTGCGCGCCTCCAGATGTAGGGGGGGCAGCGCTGGGCTTTTCGGTTCGGCGGTTCTACAGATGAAGGGGGGAGCTGCACAGTCATCACAGAACTCCGCCAACGCGCTTCCAGATGTAGGGGGGGCAGCGTGGGCATTTATCGTTGTAGTCGGCGCGCTTACCAGGGTGGCGAGCAGCAGCAGGGGTTTTTGCCGGTGGGTGGGAGGAGCCGGAGCCCACTTGGCAATGGAGAGAAGACCCCCGCTGAGACCGACAAATCCGGTTGGTACCTATAGCAGAGAATATTGGTAGCAATTCGAGTTTTCTTGTGTGTGGTCGCACAATATGGGAGGGCATCCAATGTGGCGTTAACCTGATGTTAGTGAACGTGCATGTCTCTGACGACCTCCCCTCAACAGTCGCTACCGTGTTTTGATCGTATCAACGTCGTTCCTTGTTGTTCGAATTGTAGGCCACATGTCGCGGGAGAGCATAGCTAGCTGTGTTTCAGCTAGCGTTGGTATATTGATGCGTGTTTTTCCCTGAAAATGCTGAGATGATCATTCGAACCATCGATGTAGTTTGATCCGCTTGGTATGTCGCCATGAAGGGGAATTGGAGTAGCTGAAATAAAATGCCAACGTAGCGCTGTGTTTGGCCTTCGTTTGTAGGGAATTGGAGTAGTTGAGATGCCTACGATGATGTTTTATTTTGGCAGTCGTGGAATCATTGCGAGGGTTTTTGGCTCGGAGGCCGGGTTTTCCCTTGCAACGCCTTTTTTTTTCTGTTTGGTTTTTCGGTGGTGTCCGAGTACGTTAAGCAACACACGGTGATGGTTAATTACTAGCGTAAGGAACCAGGGAGGGTGTTCGTGTGTGTGCATATGTAGGAAGGATCTGAGGAACGGTTCTGTGTTCCGTACATGAAGGGACCCGCTGTGGTACCTGTTGTAGTAGACTTGGATGAGTCTACGGTGCCCCCATGCTGCGTCAGCCTGTGTGGGGCACTCTCTTTCTTCTCTTTTCTGTCTGTCGTGCGTTTGTCCTGCGGATCTAATACAAACAATCAACGAGACTTTCTAGTCACTGGACACAAATACGGGCATACCCGGCCATCACTCCGGCTCTAGGAGTGGTCAATATGAGGCGATTGTCAAACATGGTCTCCGATGCTCCCGTGTCTACCAGCAGTCCTACCCCGGTGGAGCTCGCGGCGAAGTTGCGTCCTGAGATGCGGAAACACGTGGCAAACATGAACCCGCTGTCGAAGGCGTTCTCGTCGGGGGTGAAGTTGACAACTGCCACTTCATTGTTTGAGTCGTTCTTGTTGGACGCCGACGAGCAGTGAGTGCAGTTGAAGCACGCGGTGAATGCTTTACTTGAGTCCTTGGTGTCTTCCGGGCGCTTTCGTCCTTGTTGGTAGCATTCCTCGTCCGAGTGAGACAAAGTGTTGTGCTTGGAGTACCACTTGGTAGCTCCGGCGGGCTTCGTTTTCTTCTTCGCCCTGTTCTTGATCTTGGGGCAGTTCCTGCGGATGTGCCCCGGCTCGTAGCAGCTGTGGCAGATGATGTTAGACGCGGTCGTTGCCATGGCAAATCCTCGACCAGCTATGCGTCCCTTCCATCCCTTGCGCGATTGTTCGTCCAAGAAGATGTTGCGCATGGTGGATTGCATCTGTTGTTCGTCGAATGATGGGTCGCGGAAAACCATCATCTTGATGTCCTTGTAGTCCTCGGAGAAACCTTGCACACAGATGTCCTTGAAGCGGCGACCGGAGATGGTTTCCCCAATTTTCGCTAGATGAGAGCGGAGGCGGTGTATCTCGTTGAAAAAATCGTCCGGGTTCTCTACTGGCTCCATGACCGTCTTTTCCAGGTCGTCCAGTTTGGCCCTGATCACTTCATCTGTNTTGCATGTCCAGGACGTTGAAGGTTGGATCCCTGAACACCATCAGTTTGACGTGTTCGTGAGGTGGATCATGCCATCCTTACGAAGGCTACTGCGGTAGTACTCATGTGTGGTTTTGAGCTATGCAAGTGCGCATGTGCGTGGCCGTCCATCGGTCATTTGGATATTCGGGGTATCTCCGGTAGTAGAATCTTTGGCAAGTTGTCGCGCGTTCCCTGCTGTCCTGTGTTCCGAGTTCCGAATGCGTCTTGCGACTGTTGCTCGCGTGCCTCGGTGTTTGTGACGCACCCGGGTGCCCACTCTCTTCCGTTGCTTGTGTCTACGAGGACAACCAATGAAACGACTTTACCATCTCTTCGCATTGTCAACCGGGACAAACCGTGCTCATCCAGCAGCACTCGGCTTGGGGGCAATCAACACTCTATAGAGTTTTTGTGGCGTTAACGCCATAGTCTAGTACGGGAGACACACATGTCTTCGGAAGACTCTGGGAACTCTGGCGGGGGCGAGGCCGGCCCGACTCATGAGGAGCTTAGGACGGCCATCGACGACGCCGTGGGCGACGCCAGCACCAGACTGGAGAAGATGGTGACGGAGGGCGTCATGGTTACCTTGTCCCGTTTAGTGCCCGAGACACCGCCCGCCGGAAGTGCGACCGCAGCGGGCGGCGGGGGGGGGTCACTGGGGAGGATGCACGCCTTCCCTGGCGCGGGTCAGTTGGACCACGCGCCGAATACCGGACGAGGGCTCGAGGGAGCGAGAGGACTGCGAGGCCCGGAACCACGAGAGGCTACACCATACAGTGCTACCTCGCGAGAAGGAGTCAGCAGCGAGGAGCAAGGTTCACGGTATGCTTTTAGCTCGCATGCCCGGATACCACGCCTTAAAACAGTTGGGCGTCATCGGAGATGAAAAGAACCGGCTGATGTTTTCATTACGCAGGTGCAGACTTGTGAATGGGTCGTGCCTTGAGTGACAGCAGAGAAGATCTGTTTTTCCCCGTGGTGCCTCAACGTCCCTCCCCTTGCGTGCGTTGCTTGCGAATCGGCTTGTCGGCATTTTCCTTTGCGACTGCTGAAATTACAATCATGTGGAATTTTTTCTGGTGTTATTTTTCCGCCGCTCGCTCGTTGTTTTTTTTTTCTCTTGTGTGTTTGATCGGGATACGAACGCAGTCCACGAAACCCGATGTTGCCTGTCCGATATACCATGCGCATCTCAGTAACTAACCGCGTAGGTTGAGCCATGATGAGGCTCATTGCACGACGAAATACTGAGGATGGTGTGGCATTCCGTTGTTGTCTCATTTTGAGGACTGATGGTCCGCGGGGCACCGCGGTCCACGCCAATTTGGTTGATGATGTTTGGAATTATTTCCCGGTCGCTTGTTTCACCGGGTTATTTGCCTGAATATCAGGGAGGGCTGACGTATGACCCTCGTTCCGTGATAGATGGCGACCAGCGTCTCTCATATTTTCACAGATAGGTCTCGACAAGTCGATTGAGGCGCTGTTTTGTTGTAGACGCTGCTTTGATCTTCCTCTGATGTGTAGGCTGAGAGGGGGCACCCTCCCATAACATGTGGTTGATGGCCCTTCTATATGATATTTCATCGATGTACAGACCGAGGGGGGCAATTCTCACTGTCATATGATCGACAATGGTGATCGGGGTAGTAGACGCGCCCCGTTGCTAACAGCAGCTGGATACAGTATGGGATCCTGTTGCTGGGAGGGGGTTACTTGTGGAGGAGTAGCAAAAAATGTCTTGGTCCAGTGTCTCTCGAAGCGGCGGACCGCTTGTGGTTGAGATACTGCTTGATCTTCCAATTGGTTGATCGCCTTCTTTAACATGCCATAGAGCGATGTAGCGTTAGGTTTTACGTTTTTCCGCTGCGATTTGGCGTTGGTGCTTGTGGCTTTGGGCGCGCCGCGGTGCTGACAGCAGCTTGATACAGTAGGGATCCTGTTGCTGGGAGGGGACTTCTTGAAAAGGGGTAGTACAAATGTCTGACAGTTGTAGACGCGTGGGTTTGCAACGTTGTGACTGCTGTGTTGATTGTGTTGACAGTTCAATCAGCAGGATGAACCGTGGGGGCGGAGGATTTTGATCCGGTGGCTGGGTTTCCCTTCGTTTGCTTTATTTTGTTTACTTTTGGAGTTTCCTTTGAGTACCCTGAACGCTTTGGTTTTGAGAGCATTCGTTATGATGCACAGAATCAGGGAGGGTGTTCGTGAGGTGGATTATGCCATCCTTACGAAGGCTACTGCGGTAGTACTCATGTGTGGTTTTGAGCTATGCAAGTGCGCATGTGCGTGGCCGTCCATCGGTCATTTGGATATTCGGGGTATCTCCGGTAGTAGAATCTTTGGCAAGTTGTCGCGCGTTCCCTGCTGTCATGTGTTCCGAGTTCCGAATGCGTCTTGCGACTGTTGCTCGCGTGCCTCGGTGTTTGTGATGCACCCGGGTGCCCACTCTCTTCCGTTGCTTGTGCCTACGAGGACAACCAATGGAACGACTTTGCCGTCTCTTCACATTGTCAACCGGGACAAACCGTGCTCATCCAGCAGCACTCGGCTTGGGGCCAATCAACATGACGTTCTTATATTCGTTGGAGAAGCACTGTACGCAGATGTCCTTGAAGCGGCGGCCGGAGATGGGTTCTCCCATCTTATCCAGCTGGGCGCGAAGTAGGTGCTTCTGGTTGAAGTAGTCGTCGGGATTTTCACCAGGGTTCATGGGGTTGTTCTCCAGCTCCTCCATCTTGGCCCTGATGACCTCGTCCGTTACCCTGTCACAGTTGTTGCAGAGCTCCTCGAAGGCAGCTTGTCCGTCGCCGCTGATGCCAGTGTCGTCTTCGTGCTTCTGTATCGACAAGGCGGCTGGAAGTTCCACTAGGAGGACAAGAATGGAGAGATCTTCGTTTGCCCTTGTGTAGGAATCGAAGGCCGCCGTGTCTACGGGATCTGGCTTCCTTTGTTTCTTCAGCAGTAGCAGGATGTCCTTCCTGGTCACGCCTAACACCACGCAGAATTTCTTCATCCATATGTTGAACTCAGCTGGGTCCTTCCGTCGAATTTCTTGAGGCCTTCGATCACGGTTGCCAGGTTTGTAGAACTATCGTTGTCCACGGATGAAGGCTAATGTCCCAAGAGGAGGTTGCCTTGATCTTCCCGTGATGCTCGCAGCTCGTATTGTGTGCGTTATCCGAGGCTCATAACCTGCCAGCGCAATTTCGCTGTGCACCAGCAGCAGTACGATGCTGCAGGTGCCAGGAGGCTGTGTAGCCTACCGCAGAGGTTCACACTCTGTGTGGCTCCAACCGCGAGAGACTTGGAATGGAAATATGAAGATGTTTTTATTTATTCTTGACTCCCGGATTGATGTTGCTAGTACTGGAGAGGAGTGAGCGGGGTGGCGAGCTTAGGGCTACACCACTCTTCTCGAATACCGGACAAATAAGCCAATCACACGAAAGATCCAGAATGCTTCCGGAATGATTCTGGAAGCCCTCCTATTTTCTAGAAAACTATCAAGTGCAACATATGTCTAGAACGTTTCCAGAAGCTTCCAGAAGCTTCCCGAAGGTTCCGGAAGGTTTCCAGAAGCTAAAACACACGTTCTACGTAGATGTCTTGGTCGACCTTGATCTAGCATGCTTCCGGAATATTTCTAGAGCAATAAAAATATATGCCACGGAGAGATAGATTATATCTACTCCTACGCAGACTAGTTGCTGCAATCGTATTCAAAGGTCAAAAAACAGTGTCCGACTACTGGTGATTTCGACGCACGATTTTTCCTGACGTAGACCAGGAATCCTTCGGTCGATCCCCAGACACAAAACGACACGAGGATATCGGCCGGCCGGCGGATCCATCTCCATCCATCCCCGTTCGTAGTCATTCAGGATAATGATTTCTGGAGAAAGATCATCATCAGAAAACACACCATGCCCCCAAGATTTGCTGAGGTTCCATCCTATACGACCGGTCGCCCCGGTGGTCTTGTTGGTAACCTCGAAACCTCCTAGAGGTCAGGCCAGTGGTTCAAATCCCGACGTAAGCGAGCTTTTCTTGCAAAGTGAGTTTTTCTCTCGCTTCCGCTCCTGGCCTAGTGGATAGCGCTAGTTCGTGTGTACACAGAGGAAAGAGAGTACTGAACTCTTCTCGCATTAACAATCGAAGGCAAAGTACTGCGGGAGGGGAGGGGAGAGAGGGACTCTTCTGTGTGACCACGAGTTGGAGCAACGCGGCACTATTAATAGTGCTGTGAGCCCTGATTTAAAGTGAAGGCCAAAAAAAAAAAGAAGCATCAAACTCACCGTGGATAACGCCATCCGCAAAACAAGGATCTTGGGTCGTGTCTGTTCTTTTTTAATTTTCGAAATTCCGCCGCTGCAGGTTTTTTACCAATCAGCGAACTGCGTGCCTTGGTCATGTTGGGACCCCATCGTGTGCCCACGAATAACGACGACACCCGCCTGCGGCGTGAAACCATCACTGTGGAAAGAGTTCCCGCACTGTCGTGGTACGCGAGAGCGCTAAAAACGTGGCGATTTTGGATGATGGGCTTGTTTCGGTCCGTTGTCGCGCGCGGTGTCTGGTTTGTCTGACAGACACGTCGGGATTGCCTTGCGAGTGTTCGTGCGTGGAGGTAGATTAGTCGGATTGGACCAAATCACTGGCGGTTTCGTGTACCGCAGATGGGATTGCCTTGACGGGCGGCTAGGAGAGACCTTGAGAGACGAGTTGCGGGCCCCCTTTTCGACTGGCTTTGGGCCTGGCACTCTTCCTCCCTCCTTCTCCCTCATGTCCCCCTACGATAATACATGCCGTTAACAACACTCTTTGGACTCTGGAGGTCACACAACANCTGCAGGCCAAGTCGGGTGAGCGAGGCCAGGATTAGTCGGGCCGTGCTGCGAGAGGCACGGCAGGTTCGGCGGGATTTGTGTGTTCCACCGAGCAGCCACCAAGAGCTGCGTGGTCGTCAGGGAGGGCGACACTGCGGGAGGAGAGAGCAGCAGTAGGCC